TCTAAGTTAACTACCTTGTTCCATGATTAATAAAACCCAGCATGTCCTATCAGATATAACAGCTGAGGCCTCATCAAAAGGGCACCATCAGGGGTACAATTTATTGCAACCAGAGTTGGATACTAAATTCTATATACAGAGCCATGCCGAGTGTGGAAGGGAACACATAGCTTATTCTGTAATTTTCATCTTTTATCTAAATTGAGTACAGCCCAAATGTATTGTTTTACAAAAAAATATTGATCGCATTGACTATTTCCTATAAAAGGCACACACAGCTGTACCATAGTTGTTTGCTGCCACCAACAGTGCATAATCTGGGAAGCTTGTACAAAAAAAATTAAAGCCCTTATCATTAATTATAACACCTCCTGTGAAACATAAGGGCTGAATAATTATGGATGTGTAGTTTCAGAAAGTACAAATTGTCCTAGAAATTCTCTGTGAATTAAGCTTTTGATTGTCAACCTCCAAAAGACCATAAAACCAATCTACTCCATTCATTGTGTCTTACCTGAATGGAATTACCTCCTAGCATATTCTTGTTTTTGTTTCTTTTGTTCATGATAACAGTATGTGGTTTCAGTTATTTTAGTTTTAAATAGAGTAGGGAAGGATTAGAACCCCTTTAAGGTTTTTATAGCTGCCTGTTTTCCTGCTGTCTCTTTGTACTGATGACCTTTACCAATGAGATAAACTGTGGTGGGAAGTCCAAATGTTATAGTTGTCCCCAGGACAGGAGGTGAGAGTAAATCTTGCAATGGGGGCATCTTTCCCAGTGGCAACTGTTCAAGAAGGGAACTTTCCTCACTTTTTAGGAAAATCTGCTTAATAATCTGCACCAATGGAAGGAGCTCCAGACCAAAGGAAAAAAGAGTCCAAGTCATTTATTGGTTTACACAGTTAATACCTTTCAGGGGTCAGAAAAATTGCCCCCTTAGTCAGGGATTCAGTTAAAATGAGAACCTTAAAAAGACTAAACAATAAAGCTTTCCTGTGTGAATCTATGTAGGGAAGCTAATTGCTGGATCAGGAAATAAATGGCCAGCAGTATCTATGTGAGAAACCAAGATTTAAGAAAGCAAGAGTTTTTCTCTGACCCTCGCAATGGGTTGGCTGTTTTTAAGTCTAAATTTATAAATTATTTGGACTCTTATCCTTTAGTCTGGTGCTTTTTCCATTGGTGTATGATTTTCTTTTTTTGGTAACCTCAAGGGTACCCACAGTCTGTTTGTGAGCAGCCCAACCATGGTCAGTAAGCACTCCAAATATCTTTGTCTTTTCAATACTTTGTACTAACTCACATTGAAGTCCCAGTGCCTAATTGAAGGTTTTTTTTTTCTTAATTGGACAAATCATAAATTGACATGGTTTTTAGCCCTTTTGCCCTATATTTTGACCATATATACACTTTAACCAGGATGTGCCAGAAAGGTTGGCTTTGGGTTTGTTTAAAGGTAGCTGAATGTGTTGTGTCTAACAAACTTCTATTTGTAAAACTTTCAAAGCAAATGTAAAGTGTACATTGAAAAAATATACACTTTTATAGCACTACCCTCTTGAGGGCTGCTAGATTTGTTTTGGGTCCCCCTAAGCTCTGCATGATCAGACAACATGCATTTTCCACACTTGCACACTTAGTAGTACATAGTCAGTAAACAGTTCTTGAGCTGTTTTTTTTAGTTATTTTTAATAAGAGGTTAACAACCTGGATCGGGTCTAGAGGTATATGGGATTCCTAAGGAACTATAAACTTAAGGACAATTTCTTAGCAAAAATACCGTACAAAAAGGTTAATCAAAAAAATAGTGACCATCTCTGTTAAGGAACACTGAAGTCCATTTGGTGTACTTCCTCAGTTCTGCCGGGTGAAGAGGGAGAATTCATCTGGGATCTGAGGGCATCCCTGGGCAAGGGATTCCAAGATCTGCCAGTTAAGTAGTCCTGGATGAAAACTTGCACCTTATTGCCCTCTCCCTTTATCTGGACCAGGATTTGTAGGAGTACTCACACTGTCCCATTCTGTCAGTGTGATGGGTTAGTAGCTGCTTTCAGGCTTTTTTTTGTCTGGCTCCTTCCTTGCTGCTCATGATGTCTTCCCTAAGAGACGGTGGAACAGTGAAGATCCTCCTGTCATGCAACCAGCCTGTAGGTAGGCTTCCCTCCCTGAGCCCCCCTCCTAGGCTACACACTCCAGCTTTCCTCTCAGTCCATTTTCCTCCCAACTACCCTACTGCTCAGGATCTACTAAATTTAAGGGTTGTGCTTGGTCACCATGCCCAGCCTCCTGCCTGGGGATTAGCTGATTCCCTCAAACATGCATATCTGGGCCTCCTCTACCCCTCTTCCAGAAAGTTCTCTGAGTTTCTGGAAGGGTGGGAGGGCTCCAGAAGCCCTGACCAGTAGTGCCTCCCAGCCTGTCCTGAGGTGGACTCCTGCCTCACTCCCGTTTATAACAACTGGCCAGGTAATATGAACAAGGAAATGCTTTCCAAGTCAGGGAGATTGGTATAAATGTGAAGGGGGTGCTAAGCTCGGAGCTAAACTGGATGTAATGTAGGCATATAGACGTGTCTAGTCCCATCCTCCAGGAAGACACTGATCTTACACTGGTAAAGGAAACTTCATCAATACACAGTTGACGCAGCACTGATTTATAGGCATCAGCACTGCAAAAAAAAAGGGTGACAATATTATGGCAATTTTGAAAGGCGGCACACAGCCTGAACTGATAAACAGGAAGCAAAGGAGAAATTAGGAAGCACTTTTTTAAAAAAAAAAAATCATTTTTATTGAGTATATGGAAATAAATGTACTTCCACAGAGGAATATTATGTAAATGTAAATAAAGATACATTCACAAAGAAATATTCTGAATACTTAAAATAATACAATATTTTGACCCCTAGAGAAAAAGGGTAATTGTTGTGTGCATCCATGTTCTAAGCATAAAAAGCTGTAGGGCCTGTGCCTGAAAAAAAACTGTCAACCAAGTCCCACCTGAGCTTATTAAACTGTGTGTTGGCCAAGTATTAAAGTGTTACTAAACCCACAACAGAAAAATCAGTCTGTATATGCAGTAAAGCATGCTTGTTGTACTCACTGTGGAACCTAAGGAGTTAATCATCTGCATTGTGTAAAAAGGCTGTTTGATGCTGACTTCTCTGATCCTCCCCTTCTTCCAGTGTACCCCTCTTATCTTCTGATAAGACATATCGTGTGGAGTCACTCTGCACATGCTCTCATTTTGTTGTGTATTGTTAGAGTTTTGTTTTTTTCTTGGGAAAGTGATCAGCACAGGGCCAACAAGCACTGTTCTGACAGAGGTCGGGGGACCTGCATCCTCCTACAGAAGAATGAAAACTCCTCCTACAAGCTGTAACTAGTGATCTGCTGGACACTGATAATAGTCACAAGGCTACTATATACTGCTGATGAGAAAAGGTATTTAGCAGTGTATATTTACTAAAATAATTACATTTCCATGTTCTGTCTATGGTGGGAGACCGGATATAGTAAATGCAGGGCTCTGGGTTTAGTAACACTTTAAATATGGCTGTCATGAAAATACACAAATAAGGGAACTATGGAGTAGAGTCCACTAATAAGAAAAGGAGAAAGTCTGCAGTGTTTTGTGTATTTATCCAAGGTCCCCAAATTTTATACAACTTCCCCGGTCGCCCTCTAGCCTCATATGTCAGCTTGTACAAAAGTAAGGTTTGGTTATTTTTTTCCACAGGCCTATATGCAGCGGCTCAGAGGAAAGCCAGTGGATAACTATTAATTTCCTAGCATAATATAACATGAGCCTCAAGAACTGTTTGGACATGGCAGAGATATCTAGATCCTCAAACACACCCAATAAGCGCCATTTATTATTATTATTATAATACAGGATTTATATAGCGCCAACAGTTTGCGCAGCACTTTACGATACAAAGGTAGACATAAAATTGTTACAATACAATTTGTTACAAGAGGAAACAGAGGGCCCTGCTCGTTAGAGCTTACAATCTAGGAGATTTAGGGTTGCATATATTTGAGAAATCAAAGGTGTCAGCTATAAGGGCTGTAATACTAGACCAAAAAGGACCAACAAGGTCTAATTTTATCACAATACCATACCATATGCAGAAAGTCACCATTTTCTTGGGTACATTTATGACAGACAGGCGAGTCCCTCTTACACATATATAATAAACGTTGTGAGGTATAATATAGCCCAGTGTTTCTCATCTTTTTTTCAGTCAAGGCACCCTTTAAAATTATAGACAGTCCTGATGCACCCTTTAAAATTTAAAAACAGTCTTCAGGCACCCCATTCTAAAAAATTGGGTGTCTCAAGACTGTCCCTAATTTTAAAAGGGCACCCCATTTTAAAATGTGAAAAATTATTCTACTAGTTTTATATAACACAGCAACACCCACACCTGTAGGACATCCCACATTAGAGGTGATTTATTCTTCCATAGCAAATACACTTTTGCACACTGGTACTGACTAGTATTCCAATGTTTCTCTTCTCCCTCAGTTTTTCTCCATCACTGAGCTGATGCAACCCCAGCACTGATGGAAAGGGGCAGAGGAGGGTCATACTAGGATGCTGTGCAGGCAGCTGACATCCTCCTTATCAACTGATGTCATTGGTTGTCAGGATGCCGGCGGCTAGAAGGTTGCATTGGTGCACAATGAAAACCTGTGGCTTTGTGTAACTAAAAGGTAGGCTTGTTCCACCACCTGGCTTGTATACATGTTTTGGACATTTTGCCAAGGTACTCCTGAAGAAACCCCAAGGCACCCCAGGGTGCCTGGGCACCCTGGTTGAGAAAGGCTGATGTAGCCTATGTAAATAACGTAACTGAACAAGTTTATTAAACAGGTCCTGTCAGTTTTCGTTAAACATGTCAGCAATATCTCCTAGAAAGCACTCTATTCTCTGCATTTAAATTGCTTTATACTACACCTAGTTAGTTTTTTTTTATATATATATAGGCCTGCACAGGGGAGGACTGACCATTTGGAAACTCGGGCACTGCCCGAGGGCCCAGGTTCAGTAGGGGGCCCCATGAGATGCCCCTGGTATCTTTTTCATAGGCTTTTTTTGAGTTTGGGCAAGGACACAGGGGCCCCATGATCCCCTATTGCCCGGGGGCCCCATGAGTTGTCAGTCCACCCCTGGGCCAGAACATACACTTTAATTTTGCTAATTTCAAATTGTAGTCTAACAGAGTAACTGTAGGATGACCATAATTGCTCATCAGCTTATTGTGGTAATGAGAAGTTTAACTTGAACAGTTCTATAGCTTTATTTCTTACTTTGGTGTTTATTTTGTAAAGGCAAATTGGCTGTTCACATTCCGAAGGAATTTGAACTTTGCAAAGTAATGTTCCATAGAGTTTAGTAAATGTGGTGAAATTTCACTTTCCAAAAAATACCCAATATTGTGGTTAGATATTGTAAGGGCTCATGTACACTGCAGCTCCTAAACTGACATTCAGGAGCTGTTCAGTGGTTTTTTCATTAGCCCCTGAATTCTCCCTAATGTTTTCCTACGTGTCCATGTACACATAGTCGTTTATAGTCGTTTACAGGCAGTTGAGTTTACAGTGATTTATTTGAACGCACCAAACTTATGTTCAGGAGTAGATTTTACCGGCGTTTCAAATGACAAATGTTTGTAAATGCTTGCAAAAGCTTGTAAACGTGGTTAACCGCATTTATAAGTGTTTGCGTTTAGAAGAGTTTTTTAATTGTTCCATGTCCAGATGCTGTCCAGAGCCTTTTATCATCATCAGAAATGCATGCAAAGCATTTTCCATGTATTCAAATGGACCTAGTACACCAGTGCAGTCAGTTCCAGGTTTCGCAACCAGAAAAGGCATGTATTCTCAACAAATACTTCTCTCTCTGCTTCTGCTCTCTCTATTCCTCTCAAAATGTCTGAAATAGTTAATTTTTTACTACTTTTCAGTGCATTCTGGGCATTTGGGAAGGTCTCCTGAGGTTATCTTTTAAAAACGCTTCTAAACGCAAACGCACATAAATGCAAACGCAGGTAAACTGATGTTTTTTAACCTACGTTTTCCAGCAGTCAGTTTCCATTGTTCAAAAGAGTTTTCCAAATGCCCCGTGTACATGTACCCTAAGTCAGCAGAACTTCACTTCATTCACTAAGCTCTGGGGAAATTCCCTGATGAAGTGCAACTTCCATTGCAAATTGAACAGTCTATTTGCTTTAGGTAATTTAATCCTTTTGTTACCCCTACTCTGTCTTATTCAAACTTTCAGTCAAATATTTAAAATTTAAAATAACATTTGTCTATTGTTACTTAAAAACTGTTCTTTATGAATCAGTACCAGAATTCTCAAACCAGTTTACGATTTCACTAAAGCAGATCTTTCCCCAAGCTTCATCTCCAGTTAATATTTTTATTATGGCTAAATGGGAAAGAGTTGCCTATGTCAGATTTTTCTTTCCAACTTTGTCTCTGTTGGGAAGATTTTCCTTCACTTCTTGTTAGAATAAGAAGTGAGGTGAAATCTTTCAACTGTCAAAGGTGAATTTATGGTAGAAAGGGAAGGGTTTAGAACTTCTGGCCACGTACTGAGGGTGCATTTTTGTCCCAGAGACAACTGTTCATCCTATTTATTGTAGGGACATTACAGAAAAAGAGACAATCTTCCCAATGGGATCAAGGACATAAATAAAAACCTTGCAGAATTTAATGGGTGTTCTAGGCTATTCTGAATCAACAGACCTCACAAAATAAATTGTAAACCTTACTAAAATATGTATAATCACACCTAATTCCAAATGTCTGAGATTCCTTAGCCCATAAAGGTCTTTTGGTGTTCTTACCTCTGATGATATAGAATAACAGCTTAAAATCTAACTCCAGACAAAATAGTTCTGGTTTTTTTCAAACAGACCTGATAGGAAACTTCATGCAGCTCTATAGGCAAGCTGATGTAAATCAACTTGTGTCCCTTTACACCCTCCTACCTTTGACTCTATCTAGGTCCAGAAAAAAAATAGAGATGGACTGCATCCTTTTCTGTTTTGTGGACCTAACCATAATGGATTGGAGGTAGCTTGATGTAACACAAACTGAATGGGCACAGATGTAAAAAAACTGACATCCATACTGTTCAGTTTTGATTCAGTAGGGGATCCACTTACAGATCCCCTGCTGAATGAAGCAAAGCAGCTCCATGTGAAAAAGCCTGGTGGATACAGAGACAGCAACAAAAGCGCATTTATAGAAAACTGAGAAGGAACTAGAACATTTGTTGTTCTCTGTGTCTTTGTGTCCGAATGATACCCACACATCTCATTTCTTGTCCTGGTGTCACCAGGAAAAAAAAAGAAAATATAGAAGACAATAAAACCTTTAACCATCTGTATTCACTTTAATTAAGATTAATTTAGTCATACTTGTTCTTCTATTGATCCATTTTTCGGTGCTTCATCTTTTGTACTTTACGTTTTTACCCAGGGTCCTCCAGTAGTTGGTTGTTGCCTGTGGATTAAGAGAAGCATATATACACTTGCACTTGCATCCACAAAAATAAGCTGGATAGGTTGGGTGGTATGGGTAACATGTAGAGGAACCAATTCCTTTTTTTTCTTTCTGCAGCCTCTAAATACCTACTGGAAGGAGAAGAGGAGAAGCGGGCTTTCAGCAGCTGCAGAAGGAAAATGAAGGGATTGGTTCCTCTATATGCCGCCCCTGCCACCCCTCCTATCCAGATGTACAGGGGAGCCACATGGTCCCCCTGGAGCATGGTGCCGGGTCGCAGTTGCAATGCCTGCAACCCCTGTAGTCTCTACCCTGCTTGCATCACAAAATTTACCTTCTACCTGCTTTAATATTAAAAGTTAACTTTGCACTGTTATTGGAGTGGTGATGTCAGCAGTAGCTCCATGGCCCAAAAACTCAACTCACTACGGAATTAGCTACATTTACATACTATTGACCATAGTAAAGTATTTTACCATGTTAACAATTGATTAATGGAGAGAGCTTAAAGAAAGTTTCATACTGCTGACCCAAATTGTGCATCCCCCTCCCAGCCATAGAGTGAAATAAGAAAGATAATTCTTATCCTGAGCAGCTAGTACACTAGACGTTGTATACTCCATAGATTAATGGAGATGTGAGTGAAGTTCTCTTTTTTTGCACTTATCATTCGGCCAATGATGCATACATAAAATCTGGTTCAGGTTTATTATTTTGCATGACTAATAAATGCATATGCAAGTATTAAATAAGGATGTAAATTTAATAAAATGATAATTTATTCCCCTGTTTTAGGTTGCTGTTTTTTGTATGGTTCTTGATCTACTGCACAATGTAGCATGCACATCTACCTGAGAGATCAAGTGTGATAGATGACTGTGAATAGTAAACATGAATAATCTAAATAGCACTTTATTGCAGGATTGAAATGACATAGGAGATACATAAAAAAGGAATGAGTCTCCGGTGAGCCCTCCAGCTTCCTGACAAAAACAAATTATTTGGATACTGCAATATGACGATTAAACCCTTCTGTGCAGGCTAGTATAAATTACATGAAGTGTTTGTGCATAAACCTCTACAGGTTGTATTTCTTGACAAAAAATCTTTAAGGAGCCACTAAACATAAATTAAAAGTTGATTTATGCATAGGTTTTAATTGCTTTTAAGGAATGTGTTCATATCCTATCAGAAGTGAAGATATGTAAAGAGTAATGATGGAGAACATGGTATGCTGCAATGAGGAGGGTAGGCTAGGTAATCATTAACCTTGTGTGTGCTTGTTTGTTTGTGGGGTTTTTTTTGGTAGCATATTTCTAGGCACTTTCACATTAGATCATTTATCATTTTAAAGACACCCAGTGCCCGAAAATGCCCGTAGTTTACTGAGACAAATGGGTCAATCCCTTTGCCCTGTCCTTTTTTTACTGCTAAGCCTCATAGTTATGAGCTAATAGTAAAGAAAATGACTGGGCCAGGTGTTGGACCTATCTGACCCAAGAAGTCTCTGCATACCAAGCATTTTGGGATCCTTTAATCAAAAAAGGCAACTGGTGGTACATGCTATGTATGGAAAGAGATGAGTCAAAGTATTTGCTTTAAACATAGCTTCCTTAGCGGGTTAAGCTCTGCCTACCAATACTAGGTAAACCTCCTATCTCAACCTATCCTAAACTTTCTTCATCATATTGTTAGATAGCAATGCAGACCTTACTGTAGATTCAGATAATTACATCACCGCACCGCTGTGACCTGCCCAGATATCCTGTGATTTGCTGCACATGTGTTATTATGACATAATAAAAAGAAATTAAGAGAATAAAGGGAGACAACAGAAATGATCCTGTTTTTTCTGTGGCTTGGCCACCACTTGTGCAGCTTTTATAAGGTACCTAGACAGGTCACAGTAGTGAGAAACACTGTTCTCATGTGACACATCCAGCAGAATACTGACATTTTTACAAGGTTACAGAAATGAAAGGACCTACTTGTAATGACATGTTTTGCACTGCAGTATGACAATATTATAAGGAGAGTGAAGGTAGTGGACTATGTAGGGGATTTACTTTATAGGCATTGTAAACTTTCAAATGTTTTTTGTTGTTTTAACTAAGTATTATTATAATTATAGTCCCTGCTTCGTTTGCTTGCCTTAGGTTGTAAGGATGGGCTCACAAGTTGTGGCTTCAGTTTGCAGTGACATGGATGATAGATTCCTCTATGCCCATGTATTCATTCCCCTAGCTTGTTCCTATTTGCTAAAGTGACAGCCAACTTTTTGTTCTGATTCATACAACATCCAATCAATGTCTTGCCATTTCCTCTGTGTTGTATCATAAAGGAGTGTGTGCTACTGTAATGAAAACACATATCTGTCCTTCATTGCTCTGGCTGCTTGTATTGTTGCAGATCCAATAATTTTTTAGCTCTCATATGCAGAATGCAATGGGAATGCAAAAGTAGCTTAAAGAAGGTTGATACATTGTTTGCTGCAAATTATTATCCATTGCTTAGCTCTCTATCCTCTCTTATGCATTCTTGGCAATTTCGCACCTGTCTTGGATAGGACGGGTTAATTCGGTGAAAATGACCATCTTGCCGAAATTGTTGTATTATTTTCGCACACTCCCGGTGCGGGTTCCCCCTCATTTTCT